AAAGAATGAAAAATTTTCGATTTGCGTGTAATATTATTTTATAAAAAATTGTGTTGTTGAAAATAAGAGAGAAAAAAATGAAAAAAAAAAAAGAATGAGGGCCAAATGGGAGCTTAGACACCATTTGATACATAAAAATTTTCCTTAGAAAATGGAAAATCAATTCCAACATCAATTTTAAGGGTGTTTGATAGCCAAAATTTTCGCTAGAATTCATATTCCAACTTTTTTGCCACATAAGCCAATTTCCAGCTTTTCCTTGAATTAGAATTCTTACCACCAATTTTCGGCTACTGTAGTTTTTTTTTTTTTTTTGGTAATGAAAATAAATTCTAAAAATTATTGTAAAATAATACTTCCCTTTAATTAACAATTTTCATGTAAAACAAAGTCAAACGAACACCAAAAGATAAATGATTTTCTTGAATTTTTTTGGTAATAGAAATAAATTTCATCCCCAATAACAGTATATTCTTAGGGTTGGCAACGGTTCGGTTATGGGTCGATTCGGCCAAAACCATAACCGCACCACCAAATTTTTGACTATACCATAACCGCACCATAACCACGTAAATCGGTTCGGTTCGGTTTTTATTTCGGTTGGGCACGGTTCGGTTCGGTTCGGTTTTTATCTCGGTTCGGCACGGTTCGGTTCGGTTCGGTTAATAACCACGAAAATAAATTATTTTTTATAGGTTCATCCGTCAAATTGATATAAAAAAATTTATGAAAAAAGTTAATGAAAACAAAAACACAATATTCCAAACGAAAATACAAACGTTATCAAACAATATTCCAAACGTAAATGCAAGCATTATCCTAATTTTCAATTGTAACAAATTTAACAAACAATATTATAAATATAATAATACTAAACTTTTCCTTCATTCTTAATTGTTGTGCATCGAAGTTAATTGATGCATTCTTCCCTACAAGTCTTACTAGCATAGATCAGCATTTAAAGTTGATTCATATTCATCCTTGGCAATATTAGCACGTCTAGAAAAACATCGAACTCTGTTTTTACATGATCAGCAGTAATAGAATGACTAACAAATGCAACAAATTTTCGAAGGCGACGACGATTTGAACCGTAGAGGCAATGGAGCCGTGCGTGAGTTTGTGGTTGTGGAGAGTAGGGTTTGTATTTATATACTGTCATACTAATGCTATTATGGGCTAATGGTAAGTAGACTGGCTGAATGAGTCAGGTAGATGTAATGAGGAGGGGAGGGATTTTGTTTTGATTTGGATAGAAAAGTAGTGTAAAGCCCATTATCAATTCAATTTTTTTTTTTTAGCGGGTAATCGGTTCGGTTTCGATTCGACGACATAAATACCATACCCGCACCATTACGAACCGGTTCATTAAAATCAAAACCATATCCGCCCCATTGCACCATCGGTTCGATTTTTTTCGGCCCATTCGGTTCGGTTAACCGCGGTTTTCGGTTTTGACGGTTCATATTGCCATCTCTATATATTCTATCCCTTTAATTGTCGATTTTTATGTAAAACAAAGCCAAACGAACAACAAAAAACACTTTTATTTCAATATTTTTCACATGGAAAATTATACCAATTAAACACAATAATTTACAATTTCCAGGAAATTTTTTTTAGGCAATTTAATTCCCTGAAATTTATTTTCTTTCCATCCAAATTTCATCTTTGCAATCAAATGGGCCCTTATTTTCAACTGCCTCCAAAAATTCTCTGGTCACAAGAACACGAATCTGCCAATTGCACAAAAGAAGATCCACGGTCAGTTAGCCTGACTATGATGATTATTTTATGAACTATGATATTGATTACAAAACAACCCGTCATAAATTTCATGTTTCTTCATTAGACAATAATTCATTTATCAGTCAATTGTTAAATTTGAAGCAAGGAGACATAATAAACCTTTTATTCCATGTCACTTCCAAAAACAGCAAGAATAGAGGTTAATTGTTAAAGCTGCTTATATAATTTGCAAACACTATAACAAACTGAAGTTTATGCCTCATAAAAGCATGTTACAAACCATATCAGCTAAGTGTAAACCTCATCAAGTCATCATTGGAAGGGTAAGAAGCACATGGTGTGGTAAGTAAAGATAAAATAGTTGGTGAACAGTGACAATTATAACAAATATTGCCCCCGGGTAAGTATGCAGTATAGCAGTAAGGCAAAATGTAGCAGTATAATTTTCAATTGAGCCAATTTAAAGATCATGAGGATGGTAATGATCATAAGGTATATTGAAAGAAACAAAAATTAAGGTGGAATAAGGACTTGATACGACTACAAAAATAAAAAAAAATAAAAAATGACATTGTTTCAGAACCTACAAGGCTATAATAATTACCCCGGCATCAACATGTTTGGAACCCAACAATGGGCACATTACTTGCTGCAAATATAATTGCTCTGCAATTTCTCCCGTAGGTGCTGAAACAAGGCCTTCAAGTTCCCCCCATAGGAGGCATTCATGCATAGTAAGGGCAGAATGACCATTCTCATATTCAGATCCATACTTTGGAACTTTTCTCATCCGTAGAACTTTTCCAACCTAGATGGGACATAAAATGTCGGAATTCAGATATTAATATGATTAAACTATTTAAACATAACACAAACTTCACGGTTCGATGTTCTTTCTATGTGTTCCATACCTTATTTAGAGTATAATGTAATTTCATATTGGTCTTTAATCCAACAAATGATTCTCCCTCAGGTTTAACAAATTAATCATCAAGCTATTTACTTTTCTAGTGCTTAGGATATCTTTTGCCTTCCTATTTAATGTGCTCATTTCATTTATCAATTTTTCACAACAGTCCCCATTCAATATTTGAAACATGCAGCATTCCTCTTTTTTCATTTTAACTTTCTCCCCAAAAATATTTATCATGCACCAGAGTGGTTCACAAGAAGGCAACTCCAGAAAACCACTTCCTCAGGTAAACCTGTGTACAGCTCGGTTAAGGTTTTATACATAATTATAATAACTTGAATGATCAATTGTTGGAAGAAGAAAAACTAAATATTTCATTAATTACTTTAAAAGTAAATCAGTTTTTCCTGATCAAAGTAATAACAATAAATTACTAAAAGGGTCTTTCTCTCATAAAAAAATTAAAGTGATTAAACCCGGTATTGATATGCTATATCAAGAGGGATACCTTAAAGTTTACAGAATAAGGTAAAATAAAACCCGAAATTAATCGATTCAATAGTAGGAAAGAGTAAAGAAAAAGAGAGAACATACAAAATCAGGGGATTTTCCACAATAAGCAAGAACTAGATTGACAAAACCTTCTCCTCTATAAGCCCACTCCAGAGTGTCTTTCGCCTGCAACACCAACGCCATCCACTGCCCACAAAATATAGAATAGCACACACACACACGCTAAATAAATAAATGTTAATCTCAGTTTATCTGAATTCAGTAATTTGGAATGCAGTAAGGCAGTGGAAATTTATCTGTTTGGAAAGAGAGAAAGAGGGAAGGTCAATGGTTTGACTAGCAGTGCTTTGTGGTAGATTCAAGGTCAGACTTGAGATTTTGAGTCCTACGTCGAACTTTAAAAGTTTGGGCCCTCAGTAGTTGTCTTTTATTCAGCCAATCCCTGGAAAATAAGCTCAAAAACTAAAGGATAATATACTTCTTGGGCCCTTTTGTTATTTGACCCACTTAATGAACAAAAATCTTCATCAAATATTATGATAATCATGGTCTACAAAAATGAGCTTCAAAGACAAGAGGTATTTATTTAAACCAAACCAAATATCAACAGGAAAAGATCAAGAATGAACCACTTCCAATTGAATGCCAACAGGATTGACTACAGTCTACAGCACCACTGATGCTTAGAAAGTGAAAATACAAACATCTTCTACTCGCAGCAAGGATAGAATCTGAAACATAACCAAAAATTATCAACAAAAAGTAGCTTCTACTAACTTTTTAGCACAACCGAGCATACATCTTATTTTAATGATCAAACCTATCCAATCAAACAGAAATACAATTAAAAAATTAGCAACACTATCCAAGCAATGAGGCAATGCAGCCCAAACAAAGGAATACGACAAAGGATAATAAACAAAATAGAAAAAGTAAAAAACAATCCCAATATATTCTTCCACCTGATGGTAGCTCAATGTCGTAAATCATGCTACTCGTACAATCTTATTTGTATAATCATAGATGACAATCTTTTTTGGCATCATCACATCCATCCATTTATAAAATTGTTAAAAAACTGTTTTTTAAATCATTGATACTGATTTTGCAACCTCCAACATTGTCTGCAATGTTTGTCAACCAACACTGTTCAAATAGATTAATTCAAATTTTACCTCTGCAAAAGGAAGGATAAAATTCCAACAGCAAAACCAAGAATTAGCAACAAATACAATCACGTCTCTATCAAATTTGTTAAGGAATATTGAATCAATGGTTACATGAAATCAGAAATACTCCACTAAATTGGACAGTCAGCCAAGAATTGCTTCCCCATTCACTGCCATTTATTTAGACACGTAAATATGTAAACTATTTAAATAGACTACTGCCTTGTATATATATATATATATATATATATATGTTCTTAATGCCATCAGTAAATACATACAGAAATTCATCAACCTTTTCATGGTATCAGAGCAATCACGACCCTGAACCTTTTCTCTTCCTTTTCTTCTTCACATACAAGAAATTACTCATGGCAGGGAAAGATAAAAACCAAAACCCAGCCAAGCCAGCAACCGACAGTTTTGATGATACAAATAATCCCTTTTATCTCCATCATTCTGATCAACCTGGTCTTGTGCTTGTCACGCAACCGCTTATTGAAGAAAACTATAGCACGTGGAGTCGTGCCATGCTGATGGCTCTCAGCATCAAAAACAAAGAAGGCTTCGTTGATGGCACTATCAAACAGCCGTCGGAAACCACAGCCTTAGAACTCTAACAATGAAGGCGCTGCAACAACCTCGTAAAAGCATGGCTTTTAAATTCAATCTCACAGGATATTAGAGCAAGTATAATATACTATCAAAATGCTCATGAAATATGGAATGATTTAAAGGATCGATTTTCACAAACTAATAGTGTTCACCTGTTTCATACTGAAGAGGCCATCCATAATTGCAAACAGGACAACCTGACTATTGGAGCTTATTACACTAAGCTCAAAGGTCTATGGGATGAACGTGATGCACCATGTTGTATCCCAACATGCACCTATGGCGCCATGAAAGAGGTTCTACAGTTCCAACAAAATCAAAAGACCATGAAATTCCTCATGGCACTTAATGAAGTTTACGCTGCCGTTCGTGGTCAGATTTTGCTCATGGATCCGCTTCCTACTGTCAACAAGGCATATTCCCTTATTCTCCAGGATGAAAAACAGCGAGGAATGTCGAAGGGAGGTACAACGATGGCCGAAGCTTCAGCCTTTGCTGTGAAGAACAACTCACGAAATTTTGAGAGGACTTTCACACCCAAAACTCCTCATCAAAAGTGTGGAATCTGTGATAAAATTGGACACAACTCAGAGGTATGTCGAGCACATCTCAAATGTGATTATTGCGGCCGATAAGGACACACCATTGATGTATGTCGAAAGCTACAGCGGACAAACTTTGCAGGTAACAAACATAATCAGCGAGAGCGCAGGAACCCTTCCCATAAGGTCAATCATGCAGATGCCAATATGCCACTCACCATCACAGCAGAACAATATCATAATCTTATGTCATTACTTACCGAGAAAAAGCCTAATTCAATGGCTAATCACATTGGTAATACATCTGCCATAAGCGACCTCTCAGGTACAATTTTTTGTGCTTCCGTTAATGAGAAAGAAATATGCTGGATACTTGACACAGGAGCCACAAACCACATGGTTTACTCTACTGATTTATTGACTACAAATTGTCGTGTCACGAATCGAAATGTGCATCTGCCCAATGGAACCACTACTGCAGTCACACACACAGGCAGCATTCATTTTGCTAATTTCATCTTGCAGATGTGCTATGTGTTCCTTCTTTTAAGTTGAACCTGATTTCCATTAGTAAGCTCGTTCATAATTTCCATTACCTTGCCATATTCTCTAATGGTACTGTATGCTACAGGACCAACGATCGGGGAAGATGATTGGGACGGGAATTGAACGAAGAGGACTCTACTACCTTGACACTCCTCAGAGAGCCCACTCCTCAGAGAGCCAAATGCAATGCAGTTACCTCATCAACTCCTTGTTCTTCGAGACTTTGGCATCAACGCCTTGGTCATCTATCAAACAAGGCCTTTCGTTTACTCTCCTATTTAATTATAAACATCAAATTTTGTAGCATTTCTGATTGTTTAATTTGTCCATTAGCTAAACAAACTCGATCTCCATTCCCATTAAATTCCATTCATACTAAAGTACCTTTTGAATTAATTCATGTTGACATATGGGGAGGATATCATGTCCCTTCCATTACTAGGGCACGGTATTTTCTTACAATTGTTGATGATTATACTCGTTGCACATGGATTTATTTGATGCATCATAAGTTAGAAGCTTCAACATACATCACCACATTCATTAACCTTGTCGAAACACAATTTTCCTTGAAAGTTAAGACTCTTCGCACTGATAATGGACCTGAATTTACAATGAAAAAATTCTATTTAGACAAAGGTATAATTCATCAAACTAGCTGTGTTTCCACTCCACAACAAAATGGAATTGCCAAAAGAAAACACCGACACCTCCTCAACATAGCCCGAGCCTTGTTATTCCAAGCCAATCTACCTAAGAAATTTTGGGGAGATGCCAACTTGACTGCTGCCTACCTTATTAACCGAACTCCCACACCCCTACTTCAAGGAAAAACACCTTTCGAAATGCTTTTTCACAAACAACCCACATATGATCATTTGCGAGTGTTTGGTTGCTTGTGTTTTGCCTCCACACATCACCATCGTCTCACCAAATTTGATGCTAGAGCCACCCGATGTCTTTTCTTAGGTTATCCATATGCACAAAAAGGATACAAGGTTTATGACCTCTCAGCCGGTAGAACCTTTGTTTCACGTGATGTCATTTTCCATGAATATATTTTTCCTTCACCATCTTCCACTGCAAACACACCTCCAATGCTTCACTTATCACCACATGATGATAACAACCTTATCCCACATTTACCTACAAATACTGAAGTGGCCACACCGAACCATCTCCCTCAAGAAGAACATTCTTCTCCTAGCGAAGCCTCCCCTCCAGTCACTTCTTCACCTACAACCTCTTCATTCAATGATCAGCCTAGTTCACCCTCCTCTTCGAATCCACAAATCCCTCTATCGCGGCCGAGACGTTCTACAACAACATCTGGCTATCTCCGTGAGTACATGTTGGTATTTCTCTTCCTTCAAGTACTGTCCCAGCACCTAACTCGAACTTGGTTGAAGCTACAGGTATCAACTACCCCCTATCTAATGTTCTTTCTTATGAGCGGTTATCTCCCGAATATCGTGCCTTCACCATTTCCCTTTCAGTAAATAAAGAACCATCATCATTTTCTCAAGCACTTTGTGATCCGAAATGGCGTCTTGCAATGCGCCAGGAACTTGATGCTCTAAAAAAATAATGGCACATGGTCTCTTCAGCCGTTACCTCCAGGAAAATGGCCAATTGGATGCAAATGGGTATACAAGATCAAACTCAAACCCGATGGTATTGTTGAGCGCTACAAAGCCAGATTGGTAGCGAAGGGATACAACCAAGTTGAAGGTCTAGACTATCAGGAGACCTTTGCTCCTGTTGCAGAACTTGTAACAGTTCGTCTTCTCCTTGCCGTGGCTTCAACCCAACATTGGCATCTTCATTAGCTCGACGTCAATAATGTCTTTTTACATGGAGACCTTGATGAAGACGTTTACATGTCTTTACCTCTTGGATTCGGACGAAAGGGGGAGACACGAGTTTGCAAACTTCACAAATCATTATATGGCCTCAAACAATCTTCACGTCAATGGTTCATTAAGCTTTCTACTTCTTTGAAGGAAGCTAATTACAAGCAATCAAAGGCAGATTATTCGTTGTTCGTCCGATCCTAGAATGGTAAATTCACCGCTCTTATCATTTATGTTGATGACATCATTTTAGCAGGAATCAATCTTCAAGATATTGAAGACACCAAGATGTTATCGGAGAATCAATTCAAACTCAAGGATCTTAGACATTTGAAGTACTTTCTAGGAATTGAGGTTGCGCGGTCTAACAAAGGTATTACCCTTTCACAACGAAAATATGCTCTCGAGATTCTAGAAGATGTTGGATACCTTGGCGTAAAATCAACTTCTTTTCCCATGGAACAAAACTTAACTCTCAATAAGTCTGAAGGCGACTACATTTGTGATCCATCTTCATACAGAAGACTTGTTGGGTAGTTAATTTATTTGACCGTCACACGACCTGACTTAACATATGCAGTCCATGTTCTAAGTCAATTTATGGACAAGCCACGAGTACCACATCTAGAAGCAGCCCATCGTGTCTTGCGATATGTGAAACAAATGTCAGGACAAGGAATATTTTTTCCTACAGAAAGTTCAATCCAATTGAATGCCTTTTGTGATGCAGATTGGGCTAGGTGCCCTGACACTTGACGATCAGTTACAGGGTATTGTATCCTTCTAGGCAGTTCACTAATTTCCTGGAAAACCAAGAAGTAAACAACAGTATCACGGTCCAGTACAGAGGCAGAATAATGATCAATGGCAGCAACTTGTTGTGAAATTACTTGGTTAAAAACAATCTACAAGATTTGGGCATCAAACATCCACATTCTGTTAATCTATATTATGATAACAAGGCAGCACTCCATATTGCTTCAAACCCAATGTACCATGAACGAACAAAGCATATAGAAATTGATCGTCACCTCATACGAGAAAAAGTTCAAGAAGGAGTGATCAAGATGACTCATGTGCACACATCAGACCAGCCAGCGGACATTTTTACAAAGCCATTGAGCTCTTCGCAATTCTTGACTCTACTCAACAAGTTAGGAATTATTAACATACATTCCAAACTTGAGGGGGAGTGTTAAGGAATATTGAATCAATGGTTGCATGAAATCAGGAATACTCCACTAAATTGGACAGTCAGCCATGAATTGCTTCCCCATTCACTGCCATTTATTTAGACACGTAAATATGTAAACTACTTAAATAGACTACTGTCTTGTGTATATATATATATATATATATATATATATGTTCTTAATGCCATCAGTAAATACATACAGAGATTCATGAACCTTTTCAAAATTCAACACAATCCCTTGGGACATTGTCTCAGTCAAATCCATAGAACATATTCTACTCAAGCTAGCCCAATGTAAGATTTTATATAGAACAAAGAAAATTAGAAACAGTTACAAGATTTGCAGTAAGAATTTCCCAAACAAAGATATAGAACAAAACAAGTACTATTAAAGATATCTGTGAATTTAATAAAAATGACCAAAATACTACGCTTGGGATGAAATTAATAATTGCATTGCTCAAGCACGCTCAACTGAATAATTGCAGTGATAAGCAGGGGCCGGGAGCAGATTGGATTATGGTTGAATTTAGGGGGCAAAATCGATTTGGGGGGAAATGAGAACTGAGGAGAGACGGTTTTCACAGCCGCCCGGGTAGAGTTAGACTACCTGACCTGACCTGAGTGGATTATTCAGTCCCTTTTTCTAGTACTAGTGGCTGGCATTAGTAGCATCAATTCACTGCTATCTTTTTCCTTCAGAAAGGGCTCTAGCTTTTAACTTTTAAACCTGGGAATCAAGGAATGACCACTCGAGTATGATTAAATAATTTGTATTTTATCATTGATTATGTTTTAATTAACTTTATTTTTCATAAAAAATATTCTTTCTTCATTCGAATTTTTATGTTTAGATGTTTGATACATAAATTTTTTCATGAAAAATATTTTTTAACTTGATCATATTTTCCTCAAAAATAAGAGAAACATCTAGCACTCGTTTGATCCCCATTAAATTCAATTACATTATATTCCATTTTTCTCTCTCCTATTTTCAACCACACAATCTTCCATAAAATAATATTACACGTAAATCAAAAACTTTTCCTTCTTCTTCAATCACTCATTTTTCTAAAAAATACTATTCCCCCCATTTTCATTTTCAGGTAATGGGGGTCAAACGGGGGCTTTTTTTTTGGGAATGGTGATTTTTATTTTTCGTATAATTCTCTCTATTCAACAAATCAATAAAAAATGGGCAAATATAATATTTTTCAAACTGAAAACTAAATCAATCAAACTAACTTAATTAATAATTTTCATACAAATAAGTTCTAGGCAATTAAATTGTCTAAACTTTATTTTCTTTCTATGCAACTTTTTGCTTGCAATCAAACGCACTTTTAGTGTAATTATATTCACCGCACAATTTTTATTTCTTTCACCATATTTTAATTACACTTAAGACTCTTAATCTCTACTCATTATAACACTTATGTCACTAACAATTTTTTATATTATTCTTTTCATCAGACTTTTCATTAGTTAACATATTTTTTATTTGCTAACAATTTTATGTCCAAAAGTCCGTTGAGATGACATAAAACAAGGTATTTTCTCATCATATTCGAAAGGAAACAATTGTAGTTATGTTATCAAAACTTTCATTTAGTAGCAGACTTTACCAAAATTTTTTATTTGTGCTATCGTAAGTACCAAACTTCTAAAAAATTTGCAGCTCAAATCTAAAACGACGGTTTTCGTCAATTTGACTACCCAAAATATTAGTTAACTCCCAAAATTTAAAAAATAAATAAATAAAAATCATTATTTTTCCTAAATAAGGCATTGGCATTTTGGATAAAACACAGTTTCCCTATTAAATCAAAATTTAAATAAATTAATTAAACCACAACCCATCCCCATCTCCTTCTTCCCCAACCTGGCAACCCCTCATCCCCGAAATCAAAAGCTCTCTACCCAATCGCCACCACCAATAGCTACCCCAATTCGTTACTATAGAAGAAAAGAGACTCCACCGACACCACCCTATCAGTAGGGTTGTAAATGGTCGGATATGGATCGGATCTGTCCAAATCCGATCTGACTCGTCAAGAAAATTATCTTATCCGGCCCATTCTGATAATTTAACGGATATTTGATTGTTAAATCCATATCCGATCCGTTGGGTTATCGGATACCTGATCTGAAATTGAAAAAATTAGAAAAATAAAAAATTTTAGTCAACTTATAACCCTAGAATTAAAAGGCCTGGATAGTTTTTTACCCAATTCTTTACCCATTTATTTATAGATTGTAAATTTTATGATATTTTAGTGAGTATCCGATGTGAGAAGTGATAAGTTGAAAATAATGAAAACAATTCCCATGTTGGCTCCTTTGGTTGTTTAATTTATAAAATAAATTAATTATTATTTTTATCTTATTTTAATTAATAAAAAATTAAATCTCTTTGTATATTTCAATTAACAACATTATACTATTATCTAATATTATTAGTTATTTGAAAATCATGTTTAAATATAATACAAGTTTCAAAATTAAAAAAATAAAATAAAATTATGTGTAATAAATTATGTGATAATATATAAAATATATTATATCATTATAATAAATTGGATCGAATTAACATATATTCATATTTGTTCAATTTAGTTAATGGATTATCGGATTCGAATCTTGATCGAGATATCGGAATGATGTCCTAAATCCATCTCCCATTAATGTTATCGGATTCGGATTGAATTCGGATCAAAATCCAATCCATTGACAGTCCTACCTGTCAGTCTTAAATCTTTTCCTTGCCCTGCCACGTGTAAGAGCCCATTTATTTACAAAGAAACGTAGCCCATATAAATAACCCCCAGGATTTGGCCCAATAATGGAGCCCACATCACCTCCATTAGTTGCTGCAATAGACACCAAATTTTCCTATGCCCTGTGAATTACCTTCATTAATTCACTTACATATGAAATTGTTAAATTTATAGCAAAGGTCCATATGGATAAGATTTATAAGAGCATTTTTAAGAGACTCTCTATTTTAAAAAGTGTATTATATCATTTGGAGAGTATCTATAAATTTAGAGAACTAAAATTTTGAAGTATTCTAATAAGTTTCTTATATTTAACACTTCATTTTATTACTCACAAAAAAATATTTATTATTTTTATATATATTTTCTTTTAACTATTTTATCTTTAGACTATTTTATTATTTTTCTATGTTGAAAATTGAAACGCATGAATACATTTTATTATAGAGACTGAGTTTTGCTCTCCAAAAGCCAAATCCACACTCAAAATTAAAATATTAATTTAAAAAATATCTTGAAAAATGATTTTAAATGTTAAACTCTTTAAAATAAAGAGTATCTCATATTTAAAGAATATCTTAAAAATGCTCTAAGTCATTATTAATTAGTATGGGCAACGAGAATGCGACAATCTCACACTGAATTAATAGATTCATCGATATGGTCGATAATATGAAGAATATATATATATATATATATATATATATATCATGGAACAATACAGAAGACATAGCATAATGTAGAAGACGCTATCAATACCTAGCTCGTTTACGACAAAAATGCTATCACCAAACTTTGACGCAAATTAAAGCACTCAATAATCAATATGCTTTGAAAAGAAGTCCAGGCCGGTGGCAAGCTAAACAATTATTTATTTTATTTTTATTATTTTTTAAATGATTTTTGTACTTTGGGTGGCAAAAGCTGATGTGTACTAATCCTTTGTTTGGTAGAAATTAAAACTAAAATTTTAATTTAAATCAAAGTTAATAATTAATTTGAATCAAATCTCTTATAGAACTCACAACTTTTCAACAGCACATTTCATCAATTTTTATCAAAATTTCTTAAAAATCTAATTTTAATCCCCCCACAAAATAGGGGTTAAAGTTCTTTCGCTAATTACTTTTTTTTTTTTTTTATAACGTGGGAATCCGCAATCGTTACCTTTCGAGTGCGCACTGGGTAAACACTCGGGCTGACGCAATAACCTGCAAACCACGCTAACAAGATAATTACTTATTTTTTAAAAAATGTTAAATCCTAACTTTGGGGGCCCCCACGTTATGCCCTTTAAGCATCATAAGGAAGGTAAATTTTTTTTTTTTTTTTTGGTAAAGACATCCACACATCCTTAGTGACTTTTTAGGGTCCACCAAGGAAGGTCGATGGGGGTTAAGGGTTCCCCAACCATATTTATTTAATAAAAATCAAGAATACACGGAAGGAGGGGGGCATGAACCTGACCTCCAAAAAGCAGTGATGCAACAAAGTCCAATTTCGTATCTCAAGAATCGAACACTCACACTGTGGCTGCCAGCAATATTGAGATTACTTCACTCCTA